TGCATCCCCTCCTTGTGACTTATGATTTCCAATGAAACTGTTTTGTTCTTCCTTATTACTCCTCCTTTGTCTCTTACCTCTGCTTACTGTCTATATTATGCTTTTCTTGTACTTTCTTCTCTTGCTTCGTGTGCTACTCGGAGTTTGGCGAATTGAACTGGTGCACATATGTGCAAAGTTCTATATCGAAAACAGAGACAGACAGTGCCACTGACTCACAGAAGTGATATAGATTTGCTATAAAGAGAAATTTGCTATAGAGCAATTGATTACAGGCAAAAAAGATATTCTTTTTAAAAACTAAGCTGCCAAAATATTCTGTCATAACAATGCATATAATTCCTCTTCTTCCCTTTGTTTTAATCTATTAAAATCTAACCTCTAATGGTGGTTTGTACTCTCGCGAGTATTTAAAATGTCTACAAGCTGCTGATTTGCAAGTTCCTACCAAACCTTAGAAAAAATAAGCAAAATCATGAGCGGCAACTTTTCCAAATACATGAGACGAATGTTCCCGAGATTTGCACAGATGTGCAGCACTTCAAGTTACCACACTCCCTTTTTGTAGCACACAAAGCAAGAGAAGAGAGTACAGAGAGGTTCATAAAAAAGAGAGAGATAATAAACAGAAATATGAGCCAAAACAATAGTAATATGGAAGAACAATAGAATTTTGTTAGATATTATAAACCAGAAAGAGTGAATGCATCTGCACCAACCATTGAGAACGATTTTGAGCCATATCACCAACTGTCTCTAGCCTTCATTGGTTTTTACCATCCCAAGGAGTTATAATCTGAAGTGGTGACGACTAGTGGTGTCCGTCAAAGATGCCCATTATCCCCTTTTCTATTCAACTTCACCATAGATGTACTAATGGACTTAACCCTAAGTGACTTCAGCGACTCAGGGATTGACTTGCTACCAGGCTATGAATGATCTCGTTGACTTAGAATATGCAGACGATATAGTCCTTCTAGGCGAGGACAAAATGCAGCAGAGTCTTCTAAACACCTTGAACTGCAACCTACGAATGTTTGGCATGCGATTCGCTCCCATCAAATGCAAGATGATGTTACAGGACTGGACTACACCGACTCCTAGATTAGATGTAGGGAGTGAAGTGGTAGAGCACGTTGACCGCTTCACTTATTTGGGAACTACCATCAGCCAACGCCAGTGGGTTGATCTCTGACGAAATCTCAGCTGAGTACTGATACAGAGGGCTAGTTTCGCATATGCCAGTTTACACCGTCTCTGGATTAGTAGACGTGATATCTGGCTGGCTATCGACCAAAGGACGGGTGTACTGCTCATCAGTCCGCTCCGTCCTCCTTTATGGCCAGCTGTGAGACCTGGCCAGTGAGAGTGAAAGACATTTAAAGTCAGGCTAGCTGTCCTTGGTGCCTGCGTTCTATCTCCCGTGTGTGTTAAGTGGTATAATAAGGTGAGCAATATTGAAGTTAGGCGTCGGTCGGGTACTAGGTAAGGAGGGGAAATCAATCGACGAAGTTGTGAAGTTACATAGACTGAGATGGTTAGGACATGTGTTACGTATGCCTAGTCATCACCTTCCTCGACCGACAGGCAATGTTAGCTGACATAGGGTCAGGCTAGAAAAGAGCTGGCGGGAGGTCAAACCAAAACATGGCTTCACCAGTCAATGAAATCTACAACACCTAGTCTAAGCCACTTGTGAAGGTGTAGACTTCCTAGTTGGGGTCCCTGGGACGGTAGAAACCAATGAAGGTTGGAAACAATTGGTGATATGGCTCAAAATCGTTCTCAATGGCTGGCTGGTGCAGATGCATCCACTCCTTGTGACTTATGATTTACAATGAAACTACATTGTTCTTCATTATTACTATTCCTTTGTCTAACACCTTTGTTTAATGTCTCCAATATGCATTTCTTCTCCCTTATTTTCTTGCTTTGTGTGCTACATGAAGGGAGTGTGGTGACTTGAACTGGTGCACATATGTGAAAAGTTCTATTTCGAAAATAGACAGACAGACAAGAAACCCAACCAGTCAGGAAGTCTACATCTCCCTACATGGCTTAAACTAACTGTCGTAGATTTAATCGACTGATGCCATACCAACACTAGCTCTTCTCTAACCTGATCCTGTGTCAGTCATCAAACATTGCCCGTCGAGGAAGAGAGAACTGCCACTGTCTGGAAAATGTAAAACTGATTATCCGCAGTTTCCAATTATTCAGCTATTATTATTATTATTATTATTATGTTCATGGGTCACAAAATGTACTCTTACACCTTTTTTAAATTGGATTTCAACCAAAAGTACATTTCTCGAAGGAGTGAGGTGAAGAAGAAATATCATAAGGGATTGGTTTTTGCTTCAGATCAGACAGCAGTGTGTCAGGCGATTTACTGTCAATTACTATTGCACTTGGAGATATCCTGGAGAAAGAGAAACTATTGTGTATTGAATTCCGCTGAAATTTCTGCACATTATATTGGCACTGTTCATAAATAAAGCTATTATTATTATTATTAAAATTGCTTTCAGTCAGTTGACGTCACAGTGCAAAGTAAATTGAAAGTTGTGCTTGTACTCACTCCAGGAAGTTATTGATTTGTTTAGTGGTACTATGTGTCAATATTAAGTATGTCTGTCTGGATTCAACATAGAACTTGGCACCGAAGTGCACCTGTTCGAGTTGCCACGTTCCAAATACCACACACAAAGGTAGACAAGAAGATGAGTGAAGAGAATCAATACAGTCTGACAAGTATAAGAGTGAAACAGAATGGGTAATGGTAGAAAGGAATATGAAAGATTATAGAGACTGAATACATCTGCGCCATACATATTAAGTATGTAAAAAACAAGGAAAGACTTTGTATAAAGAAAGCCAAACCAATATACATCGGTTATCATCGTAACGCATAATGTGATAGTGCTTAAGAAAGTAGTTATTTTTTCTTATAATTGAACCTACTGAATGATAACTTGAATAGTTATGGCGGCCTGCTTAAATCAACCGGGCTACCGGAACTTCCATCTATCAGAAGTGCTGTTTAAACTCTTCTGCATTTCTTATATTGTTTAAATCATACCATTTATATCGAATGTTCACTACATCAACTCACGCGCATATTCAATTAGCTTTCAACAAAATGCTGTATAATTCTTCAAGGGAATGACGAAGAAATGCAACAATATTATGTCACATGGTTTAACTTCAGATTATTACTTTACAGGTAAATAATCCTGTATAAGGAGGCACTGAAAATTTATGTACACTATGTGTTCACATTTTGTCTGAAAGTATTTCGAAAAATTCGATAGTGTACACTGAGTCGTAATTAGGATCATAACATATCATAAAAGGTAACTTAATTACATGAATTATTTACTTTGACAGTTTGAATATACCACAAATGCTGAGACAAAACCCCTACCAACAAATTTCTATCATAACTGATATCAATCCGTGATCAACTCGTAAAAACAAAACTAATCCTTAAAAACCAAACCATAGAAAATTAATCTGATGCTCGCTAGTGACTTCCTACAGAATGGGGTGTCCTCAAGTTCTAGTGAGAAGTCGTGACCAGTGAGGACCATCCAGATGCCACGTGTGAGGATGGATGTCCCACCTACGGCAATGGTCGCGGTCGCGCTAAATCACGAATTGGTAAAAGTTAGAATTCATGAGCCATTGAATTGAGTCCCAGTGGCTGAATGGTATATGAGTTAGCTTGCCTTGAAACTGGAAGGTCCTGGATTTGAACCCCAGTGGGTGCGTACAGCCGATGATTCTCAAACTAGGATGAAACAGCAGCTGTCCAGTACTCCCTCGTTTTCAATGGTTCTCTAGCTGATATCAATCCGTGATCAACTCGTAAAAACAAAACTAGCCCTTACAAGCCAAACCATAAAAAATATGTCTATCAGGTTGTCTGAAATAAGGCTGACCGTGTGTGTGTGTATCCCTGAATATATTTTATTGGTCAGATAAGTTTATATGAATCATTAGAAGAATAAAGTGGACGATAATACCAATACGCCTACTAGTAGGGCGAGGAGGTCAGCAGAAGTTTTAAGAACGGATCACTTGTAATGGAAAAATTGTTCGGATGATCTCTCCTCCTGGACGATCTACTGATAATATGCATACTTATTTAGACGTTTCAACTAACTTTGAATTTAGTATACGTTTCCCCCCACAACCACACAGACTGTGTATCACTCATTTGACATTTGCATATCATATATATATATATATGTTGATTTTTGACCTTCATTATTTGTCTTTGTCCTTATTTAATCTTTAATTGTAATACTTCTATGTGCACGTTTATAGTGTACTGTTTATTCATATGAGTTTGTTTGAATGAATGAAGGTCATTCTGACCTTCTGTAGTGGCTGCGGATATTGTTGGTGTGTGAGTCTTGTGAACAGAGCTTTTCATTCCATCTCGTTGATTCTAAGGTACTTCTTACAGTTGGACTTTGGCTAACTAATTTTGGTCTTACAGTACTTGTTTTGTATTTAAAAATCTACCTACACTGCCTGTATAACTGCCTCAAGGCACCGTTAAGGTAAATTTAAGTTTTGATGCTATTATTGTTTAATAGGACTCCTAGAATATAAAAGAATAATCGTCTCTTCTCTGCTTTTGGAACGTTTCGTGATAGCGCATGTCTCAACGAAGCTTTGTCAGCTATACTACATTAGAACGTACAGATCGGTTCCTTGCGTTCACACCACAACCGGACAAATTTAGCCTCTATGTCACACATGATCCTGACCCTCCCCCCCGCCCCCGCAAAGGCAGGAAAACTCAATGGTAGTTTGGCTAATTTACATGAGTTTATGACAGTCACAGTCACATAGACATCCACCTCGAATCGACGTGGTGGATTAGTGTACCGACAGTTGCTATGACATAACACCGAATAAAAACGAAACACTTTATACAACATTATGCAAAATATATAGAATTAAACACACCGATGATGATAACTTACTTAAGTCTTCTTTCAAAACCTGAATTTCTCCGATTTGAATATTTTGGATACTGAAGCACATTAGCATAACGTAAATTGAAACGTGGAAGACTTTGTAACTGAAATATTTCAGAAAAAATAGTAAAGTAAAAAGAAAATAAAAATGGTCAACAGGATTAAAGTGTACAGAGGAATGCATATTCGGTGCAAAAATCTACACACACATATACACATATAATGAAAACAGTACTGAACAGCTTTCATAATCATTGGTACTGTGATGGCAAGTCACCTTAACTTGGTAACCAGATTGCATAATACTTGAATTTACTCAGTATCAATAACCAAAGACTAAACACGACCAGACACAAGGTCAATCGTTAGTCTGAATACCTGTGATAACGTCTCAGACAATAGCACAGGTTGATATCTCCGAGTTGTCACCAATTCTTTCGAGGTTGCAGATAGGCCTTGCTGATAACAGGCAATAAACAGGAAACTTAAGTAGTGGGATTTTCAGTAGATTACTTCCAAAAACACTAAACAACTGATTATATATCATTTCTTCGAAATTTCTACCCACACTGTGATACCCCTGTGTGAAGTTGTATTTATGGTGAACACCTGTTGCTACATTCTGGTGACGCTGAGTTAGAGGAAATTATTGCTTGATAAGTGCATCTTTTTGCTTCAAATAGCAAAACGGACATACATACAAGTTTATTCGTTACTTCAAAATAATACGGTGAGTGTTTACAACACATGATACTATCTATCCTCTTAGACTCATCGACAGTATGCACCCACTGATCAGGACTCGAACCCAGTACCTTCCGGTTACAAGACAAGCTTGTATATATCATTCAGTCTCATTGGGATACTGACTCAATGGCCAGTTCACGAATTCTAACTTCGCTCAACTCATGATTTTAGCGCTACCACCAATTAGTGTTATTGGAGATTATTCGTATTTGAGTGGCGTACTGCTGATTAGTCCCAAGTTCTAGGACTTAAAAGCTGCCCAGTACTCTCCCATGTGGTTTCCAATGATTCTCTAACGGATATCAAACCATGATCAAACTTGACAGAAATGAAATCTCTGCAAACTAACTCTTGAGAAGTAAAACTAACTGCTTCCATTAGTGACTACTGTGCTACAACTTACAGACCTAGCAGCGAATGAGATACCTCAAATGGTACACATTCCAGGTAGTACATCGTGAACGATACACAATAACAACAAAAAAGGTTAAAGTAACTATCAAAATCATTAATGGAAGGATTAGTTGGCCAAACTGAGCTTTAAGCACCACTAACTACCAATGGAGTGCGATAGCACCATTGACCTTGAATGACCCTATGAGTTTTATTCACATGTGTTGAAGCTTCTATTCCGCTTGATTCGAGTCAAATGCCTGCTCTAACGCAGTTGCGTTTGAAATTTGGTGAGGATTAAGTCTTCCAGTATTGCTTAGATGTGGGTTGTGATTAGGAAAGAAGGGATTTGTTCATCATGGAGGTGTGATGACTATAAAAAGCTTCAGCAGGTCTATTGATGGACATGCACATTGTTGTGCGATTTGTTTGTCAGGGAAGGTAAGCTGATGTTTTTAATATTTCGTGGGAACATTTTTTGCCAGATCTCATCTTTCCTTAACCCAAATTTTGCATATTTGTAATTACTGGGTTTTTAAACAGTCTGTGAAAGGTGAAGCTGCTGAAACTGAAAATAGTCTCGTATCAACAGTTCAGTGGTACCAGCACTGCAGCGATGTCACACCCTGGAAAGTGGAAAGCCTTTCTTATTGGGAGGAGGTGTCGTCATACATGTAGATGGAATTGTCTTAATAAAGAAAAAATACAACGATGGTCAAGAACTAGTGAATACTGTTTGGGTGATTGGTTTATTATTTTTTTTAAATTTTTTTATTTTTGATTACAGCTTGATTCCACACCGTATTTATGGTACATGTATGGAATTTTCAGCGTGAATATTGGTAGCCCAAAATTCGCAGGCCGACCATAGATATCAGGTGTATGTCAGCGAGGGCTCAAACCCCGGACCATGTGCATGGTCGGCGAGAATCCTAACCACTGTGCCACCGACGCACACATAAAGGGAGGACCATGAGGCCTCCCCACTGACAAAAACTACAAGCCCGAGCGCACCCGATTAGGGTCCGTCGCGAGTTTCAACCCACCGAGGTGCAATGGTGAGCCTCCACCCGGGGTCAGAGCATTCTTGATCTGTCTGTCTGTTTTCGACATAGAACTTTGCACAAATGTGCGGAAGTTCAAGTCGCCACATTCCGTGTAGCACGCCAGATAAGTTTATATGATACCTCTCTACAGAAAGGATTCGTCGAGAGGATAACAGACAGAAAGCCAAGTACTTTAATGCCTATTATCACTCTAATTGTGAAAGAGGGAACTATAATACACACAGATGAGTGGGAACATTTTAAGTCCCCGTCATCTCTTGGATATATTCACCACAGAGTTAACCATTCGAATGATTTTGGGGATCCCACACCAGTTCTATCGAAGGCCATTAAGGAACGTTAGAAAACAGGATTAGAGCCATGAATTTATTGCAAAGTGATGTCATTTATAGTCATTTAGATGAATACACATGTATGGGATATGGTGTAACTTTTCCATTGATACTCCTATACTAAACTGGGCGATGTGAGAGAAAGGTATCCTATGTAAGAACTTATTAGTTTTTAGGCATTTTTTTCATACATATATGTATTCCATACCCAAAAACGCTTCGTTCGTGTGATTGGTGCGTTCAATGTCATTCGTTGAATTGTAGTTAGTGATGCTGAAAGTTTATTACTATTATATTCTTTAATTCCTAGAAGAACATAGGGCTTCAGCTACGCGTCTCCATTGCCTTTTGTTTTCTGCTAACTTTTTCACTCCGCTCCAAGTCTGCCAACATGCTTTCATCTCCTCCTCACATGACCTCCTCCAAGTCACCCTTGCACTGACGACCAACTCGCCGCTTCCCTTTCGGGTTCCACTCGAGCAGTGGTTTGTCTAGTGATGTCACTTGATGGTTTCCTCAGCGTATGGCCAATCCATCTCCATTTCTTCCTCCCTATTTGTTTCACAATCGGTTCCTGGTTGGTTCACTCCCAGATATCCCTCCCTGTCACTGATCTTTTCTGGCCATCTGACCATGAGTAGTATTGAGCGAAGACAACTGTTAATGAAGGTGTGAAGTTTGTTGGAGATGCTCTTTATGACGCTGATCCGTAAAGTAGCACTGACTTCACATTGGAGTTGAAAATCTGGAAAGTTTAACTTTGCCGATTAGTTGTGCCTGTCTATTTTCGAAATAGAACTTTGCACATATGTGCACCAGTTCAAGTCACCACACTCCCTTCATGTAGCACACAAAGCAAGAAAATAAGGGAGAAGAAATGCATATTGGAGACATTAAACAAAGGTGTTAGACAAAGGAATAGTAATAATGAAGAACAATGTAGTTTCATTGTAAATCATAAGTCACAAGGAGTGGATGCATCTGCACCAGCCAGCCATTGAGAACGATTTTGAGCCATATCACCAATTGTTTCCAACCTTCATTGGTTTCTACCGTCCCAGGGACCCCAACTAGGAAGTCTACACCTTCACAAGTGGCTTAGACTAGCTGTTGTAGATTTCATTGACTGGTGAAGCCATGTTTTGGTTTGACCTCCCGCCAGCTCTTTTCTAGCCTGACCCTATGTCAGCTAACATTGCCTGTCGGTCGAGGAAGGTGATGACTAGGCATACGTAACACATGTCCTAACCATCTCAGTCTATGTAACTTCACAACTTCGTCGATTGATTTCCCCTCCTTACCTAGTACCCGACCGACGCCTAACTTCAATATTGCTCACCTTATTATACCACTTAACACACACGGGAGATAGAACGCAGGCACCAAGGACAGCTAGCCTGACTTTAAATGTCTTTCACTCTCACTGGCCAGGTCTCACAGCTGGCCATAAAGGAGGACGGAGCGGACTGATGAGCAGTACACCCGTCCTTTGGTCGATAGCCAGCCAGATATCACGTCTACTAAGCCAGAGACGGTGTAAACTGGCATATGCGAAATGAGCCGATTAATTAATAGTGTATCGCGCATAACAATTGAAGAGTGACATTTATAATTTTAGAAATGCAGAATCAGTTTCAACCTTACAAGTAAACAGAACAAGCCTCACAGGTAAACATTTAATAATAAGTACCAAAACTCAGGTTTATAACTCCATATGGTTAGCTGCTAAATGTAGCGCAATTCGACCTGCAGATATGAATGATAAATGTCAGGTAGAACATAGCTGTGTCTATCATGCCTGTCTATCTGAGTTTGTAGTGCAGCATGTGATACTGATAAGATTTTCCTAGTAGTAGGTGCAGATTGATAGGAAGTGGACAAAAGTGAAATCAACGTTTTAAGTCAGTGACTGGCTGAAGTAGAAGTAGGAGTGTTTATTCCCTCAAGTCTGGAACTAGTTTACATTAATTAGACATGAAATAACGTCATTGGACAACTTGTTAAAACCTTGAGCCAATCGCCAACCAATCAGAAGGATGTATTCTCCTTTGGCCTAGTGGAACTTTAATGCGGTTAAAAATGTGTTAGCATGATCTGGTTTTCCCTAATAAAACATCCGTTACCAACTCACTTATCGTACTACCAATTACAATTTGACTTAGTTACAGGATTTCATCATGAGCTGACAGTGGTTAGAGAACCATTGGAAAGCCAACAGGGAGTACTGGACAGCTATTTCGGCAGCCTAGTTCGGGACTCTTTGTCAGTAGGCACGCACCACCAAAGTTCGAACCCAGAATCTTCTGGTTACAAGGCTGTAGAGCTCGTAGACCATTAAGCCACTGGGACCCGATCCATTGGCCCATGAATTGGCAGAAGTTAGAATTCATGGGCTGGCCATTGGATCGGGTCCCAGTGGCTTAATGGTCTACGAGCTCTACAGCCTTGTAACCAAAAGATCCTGGGTTCAAACCCCGGTGGGTGCGCGTAGATGAAGAATCCCAAACTAGGACGAAACTAGTAACGCTAACTAGTGGCAACGCACTACTGAAACAAAAGAAGGAGAATTTCAAAAAACAAAAAAATAACTCACTTTTTCTTCAGCATTTGAACACTCTGTATTATTTGATGTAGGCAGATCTTTATTATCTGAAGAAGTTGGAGGAGGAAGAAGAAGTAGACGAGAAGGAGTACAGCACTTCTTGCCAGCATTTGAATCACACGTTGAGCTACTATTACTACTACTACTCGCTAAACTATCTTTGAATCCGTTTGACACAAATGAATTATTATTGTTGTCAGATTGACTACTTACATTGGTGTTACCGATACTATTATTCAGTACGGAGGATATAGGGGGTGTATGTGACGTTGTTTTAGGTGAACTTTTGCAAGAGAATAATCCTGCTGATGATGATGACGATGATGTGATTGGTGGTATGGAGGGCAGTGGTAGAAACGATGATGATGATGATGGTTCGGATGAGGGTGATAAGGAAGAAAAGGAAGCTGGTGGAAGAGTAGTATATACTGGAAGTTGATTAGATACGGAGTGTTGACTGAAGGATATGTTTGTAGTGTTATTAATATTACCATTATTATTATTATTATCTCTGTCTGCCTTGACATTGAAAACCTGTGATGGTGGTGTTGGCGGTTGTGGTGAAAAGTTGAAAACAGTTGAATAAGGGATGGGGAATTTTATTTTTTGACTTGATTGATTAGTGTTAGATGGATTTGATTGCACTGAATGATGAGCACATGCTTCATCAGTTGTATGAACGGTAATCATCGATGTATTGGGTGTAGACTGTTGTTCATTCATTTGTTGATGTTTAGCATTATTTATTCTCGAGGATACTGATGATGAATGTGTATGATTAAGTGTTGTATAAGGTTTGACACTTGAAATAGGCTTTGAACTATGCGGTGAAAATGAATAGTATGAAGGACAAGTATGATTTGCCAAAGATGTAGCCGGTGGCAAATTATTAAAAACTGGCAAAGGGAATGAATTCGATGATGATGATGATGGTGAAGAAGAAGACATCGATTGTACAACAGGTAATGCTCTAGTAGTTGATGACGCCAATTCCAGGTGATTATTGGAGGTCAGTTGAAAATCTGTCCGTCCAGAATGCGGTAGAAATTGTTCAGAGGGGAGTATGGAAGAGGTCATTTGACATGAAATTGGAACAGAAGTATTCTTTTGACTATCAGTAACATGGAATGAATTTATCATTGATAAAGTATCTCTAATAGGATTTAATGGTCCAATATCTGTTTATAATATAAAACACAGAAATAAACGAAATGAAAAGTATGACTTAGAGAGATATGGAATAATGAATTTACAATAAAACAGTAACCACATACATACCCAAACGTAATTGCTGCATATTTTCAATCTCATTTGAAAAAGGCTCAAGGAATTTAAACATAATTAATTCCTTGAAACTTGATGTAGACAGAAGTATGAGACTGTACGCCACATTTCCTATGTAAGGGTTAGTAATCTTTTTTTCCTTCACGTTCCCAGTGGAACTATAGGGCCCCAAGCTAATGGCTTGAAGTTTCTGTAGTAGTCTTTAATTTTACAGGATGTGGTTGCAACCCTCATGCCAAACCTTTCCTCTTTAACAGCATTATTTCTGGCTTAGCGAGGTAGAGGAGTTCGTCGGTCGGGGATCGAACCCCGGACCATGTGCATGGTCAGGCTAGTAATACTCTCATCGTGTAATATTCAGATAGATTTAGTTACAGATAGATACACGCATTTATAGCCAATCCCTCAAACTATCCGGTTTGTCAGAAGCCCATATCACACTGGTTCAGTTAAAGTCTGAGTCAATGGCTGGATAAATTGACAGATAGATCTGTGTAACACTCTGTCAAATGATTTTCTCTCTTCACCTAAAGCCCCACCCTTTCTATCTTAACACCATTTTGTCTCAACATTCCAAAGGGGCGGGGCGTTTCTATGGTTCTCACCGTTGTTTGTGGTCACAGAGTGAAGTGAAGATGCCTCTCTAACCTGAAGAATAGTACTAACTGTAACAGAGAAGCAAAATGGGGAAGGTCTGTCTGTCTGCATTCAACATAGAACTTGGCACCGAAGTGCAGCAGTTCGAGTTGCCACGTTCCAAATACCACACACAAAGGTAGACAAGAAGATGAGTGAAGAGAATAATCAATAGAGTTTGACAAGTATAAGAGTGAAACAGAATGAGTAATGGTAGAAAGGAATATGAAAGATTACAGAGGCTGAATACACCTGCGCCACTGACAACGATTTTGAGCCATGTCACCTATTGTCTCCAGCCATTGATTCCTAGAGTCCCGAGGGCCCCAACCCGGAAGTCTGATGGGGAAGGTGATGTGAGTAAAGGAGATTGATGCTCAGAAAGGCTTCGTGTGGTCTTGGAAGTGTGCGGGCGATGGTTACTTCCTGGCCGCCCAAACCGTGGAGGTTGATTGATTCTTTGGGTACCTGAAACAGAGACAGAGGGTTAGTGTTGCGTGATCTCAGAGCCCAGGGGAAAACTACTTGAGGTCGGTCACACACAGCCTGTATGAACTGGTTTCTTGGTTTGCTTCCGTATTAGTAAACTTACCTCCGGTGTCGGACCACCATAGGGTAAGTTGGGATATTGATATAAGAATAAAACTTGTGCACTGTGGTAGAGTGTAATTCCATTATGGGTAAATTTTGTTTTGATAAAGTCTCACAGCGTTATACAGTAATGTTTACTGATGACGTTTCGAGCACAATTTATTGCTCATAATCATATCAAGGTAATCACACGACTTCCTAAATTCATTTATATAGTTCCGTTGTTTTTCTCTTGATTTTCACTTGATTTGATTGGTAATAGTATTTTCCATATTTCAGGTATGAGTGACGAGTCATTCCTATTGCATGTGTTGGGTGTAGACTCGATGAACAAGGATTCAGTTGGGATATACAATTTTTGGGGTCAACCTTTCCTAACCCCTTCTCTCTGGAGTGGAGAGACAGCATAACTGGCTGGCATGCTGGTCATCTGAGGGAAACACCTTACTGCGGCTGTTACACCCCTGTTCCCCAGCAGTACGACTTCGCCCACAGATCCCCAGCATAGTGTAAGAAAGATTCTTACACAACGCCGGTAACTGCTTTTAGTTTAATCGTTATCCTAACAACCCTCCTGGCATGGTAGGACCTGTAAGAACATATATTCTAGACAGTATAACCTGTTGGGTCATAGCGATGTGCAAGCCCGACCACCGCGTCAAGGTAACAGCTATCGGTAGGGCAACATTCCATAAGAGCAGAGGAAAGATGTTTGCGGTTGGAAAGTAAGTTATCTTTCGTATCTTCTGCTCTGAGCAACTATATTTTTGACCAACGTAAAGCAGACTGTTGCTCAGCACTTCTGCTGTATGTTAGATTTACAGCGTTTTACCAAAGCCTGAGAATCATTTCCTAGACAGCTTATAGAACTTCTTTGCCTAAGAAGCTATTATGATACGCAATACGTCAAGACTAAAATAGGTACACTGAGTTGGACATAGACGCACTGATCACAACTACTGCGAATAACATGACGCGACAGCTACTTGTTCCTCACACCACACCACTGAAACGATAACATATAATGATGTCAGCCACAAAGTATATTTCTCGCAATAATGTATGATTCAAAATATCACCAAGGTTATGCCAATTAGTCTATAATCATGATCAATAAAACACTGGGCGTTATTTTACACGGGTCAAATTCTGACTGGCTCGCCTCCAGACTAAATATTGATCACTTATGTTGACTAATTCTGATTGGTTTATTTCTAGACTGGGCATCAACCACCATATCAGAAGCTGATATACATCAAGACATATTGGTCATTTAGATTCAACAAATTAACAGCGATCAAAAGACTATATTAAGATTTTTTATCCCAGATGGTCAGAGTTCTTCAGCTGTATTACATGATTCTAAATAAAAGGCATGGAACACTTTACTCAAAACAAACGAATTGACTAAATGAAATGATGAAATCAATACCAAGGGTCATAAGGTCACGTCAGTATAAGTTTTACTATAGTGTGGAACTTCCAGTCCAAAAAGTCAAGACATCACGAAACAACAATTGTCCTTTCTTCATTAACCCTCAAGGTTAACAACACGTTAGTGTATCCACAGTATCACCAGATTTGATAGTGAGACTTTTACGACCAAATAGCAAGGCACACTAATAGTATTACTATTATTATTACTATTATTATACGTTGAGATTCATGATAAGGGCTAATTATTCTATTAGCACATGTCATAGATTTAAGAGCACGGATAATAACTAACATTAGAAAATCCAGGTGAAACAGCAGTTGACGTAAACTCCTACTAAAACCATAAACATATCGTAACAGAAAGATTGTTTGGAAAATTCCTCCTGAATGACATAATCATAATATTAATGATTATTTGGGCGTTTCAAGAAACTTTGTAATTATCATCCGTTTTTTTCTCCTAGACTGTTCATCGTTATTTTGACATTTGCGTATCACATTTTGATTTGGTCCTTATTGTTTGTTCTTTGTCCCTATTTAATGTTTAGTTGTAATGCTTCTCTTTGTGGTTTTGTGTACACTGATAATGTGTTTTTTTACAGTGTGACTTTGTTCGAGTGAATCAAGGTAATTCTTATTTTAGACTGTCTACAGGAAGCGTTGGTGTGTAATTCTTGTGGGCAATGGTTTCGATTCCACTTTGCTGGGAATATCTTTACTTGATTGTAAATATCTGTTTTGTACTTAGACTGGATTGTATGGCTACTTAACGGTACTTTTTTTTGGGGGGGGGGGGCGGGTAATTTTGATTTTTTTCGATCTTATTATCGTTGAATAGAACCACGCACATATACATTACAATCACAAACAATCGTCTCTTTGGTCACAGGATTTCATCATGAGTTGACATTGGTTAGAGAACCATTGGAAAACCTGGGAGTACTGGACAGCTGTTTCGTCCTAGTTTGGGACCCTTCAGAAGTACGCACCCACCGGGATTCGAAATCAGGACCTTCCGGTTACAAGGCAAGTTCGCATGCCACTAAGCCACTGGAACCCGATCCAATGGCCCATGAATTCTAACTTCTGCCAATTGACGATATAACGCAACCGCTAGCCAATGTCTTTGGCGAGTATTTGTCCTGACACCCGACCTGCTGCACCCTACTGGTCACTTTGACCAATCAACCAAATCCCTACAAACCAATACTTGAATAACCGTCTCTTTGCTGTCTTTGGGAAGTTTTGTGACTGTGCGCGTTTCTCAAGACAGTTTCCAACAGCTATACAGTAGGATGCAAGGATCGGCTCTCTGCGTTTAGACTACAACGAGTAGGCTTTGGTCGTAACTGAAACAATCTGAGTTGTAATCTAGAAGTCTTAAGATTCAGTATATCATCAAAAGGTTAAGGTGTGTGCGTCGTAATGGAAGGTGGTAATAAAGATCATAGTGTCTCGTCTGAAGTTGCTTATCTCACACTGATTGTTACAAGCATCCTCCGGGTCATTTTCTTTTAAGTAGGGAGGAATAGAGATCAGCGTGAAAAACTTTACAAAGATGCGTCAGTATGGGTCACCACCATCACATGTAACAACGATGAAACAACAGTACTAACGAAATTGTGGGACAGATGTGCTCACGCCATTGCTGCAAAAGGTTTGGAATGGAATAAAGGTGCCTGCCGGTTGGAAGAAATGCTGGCTACCTTGTCAAGCTGACAAAGAAGGGTGATTTAGGCTTCTACAAGAAACGCTGTGGAATTATGCTATTGTCCACGCCAAGTAAAGTACTAAGTTGCTCGTCCTGGAGGAAATAAAGGATGCACTGGATACAGAACTCCGCACCAACCAGAACAAGCTGTATTGAGGAAGGGTAAATCATGTGTGAATGGAATTACAATTCAACGCATCATCATCAAACAGAGCATAGAATGGCAGTCAAACCTCTGCCTCAGCTTCATCGACCTCGAAAAAGCCTTCACCAGACAGTGTTGACCGAGAAGTAATTTGGAAACTGTTTCAACACTACGGTGTGCAGTGCCCCAAGTCTCTATCAACCTGATTCAACGGCTGGCTATATGCAATGCCACGTGTTAGGTGATCCACAACAGAAAATTCAGCGAGGCATTCTCGAAGGCTATCTACTATCAACGATGATATTCCTAATTGTGGTGGGCTGGATTGTGCTCCAGACTCTGTACAGGGAGTGAGAAGACAAGAATACTTTGGACCACCGATAAGAAGACTCTAGAAGACCTGGATTTCGTATATGGATGATTTATGTTTAGTGTCACACAAGCTTGAAGACTTGTTAGGCGAAAGCCAAACAAACTGGCAGAAAAAGCATGTAGCGAAGGCAGCACCCCAGGTGAACATAGAGAAGAAGGAGGTGATAAAGATAACCAACCACCACCAACAGCAGCAATAACCAGCACCGATCACCACCGACAGGAGAGATTTGGCAGAGGTCACTTTATTCATTTATCTGTCCAGGAAGCACGGTTTCAAACACAGGCAGTCGGACAGCACGGATGAAGATGTCACAGCCAGCCAACCAGAATCGGAAATGCAAGATACGCCTTCATCAACCTGAAACCAGTTCGGAAATCTTCTGCACTCCACTCAGCCAGCATAGACAACAAGATTCGGATTTTCAACACATATGTGATTCAGTCAGTCAGTTCTTCTATATACGGGTCAGAAACTTGGCCAGCGTATCACGAAAAGGATTTCCTACAAGTTAGAGACTTTTATGAACAGTTGACACCTTCGCTCGCTCTACATACTGAAGATCAAATGACCAGTTGGCCGGCCAGAAAGATATTAGTACCAAGAAACTCTGGGAACGAACCAATCAAGAGCCAACTGCTCAACAAATATGGTGAAGGAAATCGAGATAGATTGGATACACACTGAGGAGGTAGTCGAAGGACATCTCACGCTAGGCCCTCGAGCGGAACTCGAATGGGGAACGATGAGTGGGCCATCTGAGGGGGTCGTCAGAGGAGATGAAAGACTATGGGTAACCGTGCAACCAGCTACAGAAGACCGGATAAAGTGGAGACGTGCTGTTGAGGTCCTATGTTCCATTTGATCAGGTCCCAGTGGCTGAATGATCTGCGAGATTTCCTTGTAACCGTAAGGCCCTGGGTTTGACCCCCGACGGCTGTGTGCTGATGAAGAGTCTAAAAAACAAGTACGAAACAGCTATCCGGTACTCTCTGGTTATCCAGTGTTTCATTATAACGCATTTTTAACAACACACCACAAAATATTATGAACATCAAAACACTTTTTTTTATTCAGACTTACTAGGTTTAAGTTTTTGAGTAGTACACGGTAAATGGCAATAATTACAGTCTACATAACTTGGCTTTGTTTGAACTCCATTAATGATTAATTTATCCTGGATTGATGATGTAGAACAAGACTGATTCAATTTAATCGACTGATTCATAGATGAAATAAATATATACAACAGAAGGAATAATAACGTTTGAATGAGAAATGTGCAACCAGGTTTGATGAATAATTTTCTACAGAAATTAAAATAGAAAAGAAAAAATACACATAATATGAATCATATGACAGTAAAAAGGGCAAATTGGCATCAGCAACATGAAGTTACTTTTCAGTAATAGAGACGCTCAGTGAGCTTAACTGAGCGACCGCCTTATTATCTGCAGCCTAAGGGAGACAAGAGTGTATCGGCAGTTCGGGGATAGAATATTTGCCAATCAGTAACGCATGTGTAGTAGCCGGTTCCATTCCCGTCTGATGCACACTTAAACCTCGCTAAGCCGAGGCAGTAAGCCAGATTAAAAGAGAAGATTGGCCATGAGGCTAAGAATCCCACCCCGTGAAAATAAAAAATAAAAACCCACTTGAAGCTGTACGTTCCAGTCGGAAAGGTAAAGGAATAAAATAATTATAGCGGAGACAATATATATTAACTAACACAGGATAGCATTATATGCAATGTAGTTCTGAATGTGGACAAGGTTATAGAGCCAGCAGTTGAACAACCACTTCTTTGTTGTGTATACATAATATTTTAGTGAGCAAATCTGCAGATCTTAAAGGAACAATAAACACACAGTCATATGATGATAATAATAATAAAAACCAAGGTTCATAATATCTGAATATGTATTGTAACTACAGAAGACAAGGGCCAGGCGACAGATTGTTTATTGAGAAAATCAAGAGGCATATATAGATTTTTATGTATATCATTGTTAGCACAGAATCAATGTCTTCTGATTGGCTGTTTATTACTTGCTGAAAGTTATTCTGTTATCTCTTTGTGGCCGTTTCTCAGGAAATGAAGCCACATTATCTGAGAATCATATTTACACACATTAACTTCGCTGTGATTGGTCGGTGAGTTACTCAAAATTAAGCTTTGTTATTGTTTCTCTCATGAACCTGATTCGGGACGTGAACATTGATGCAAATCAATGTCGACAATTTTGGCTTGCAGTCGGCTCTCTCCACAATATTACTTTTGTGTGATAATAGTTATTTCAAAAGTAATCCGAGATGTACAGGAGAGATCACTGGGAATGAATCACAAAACCTTTTGCAACACTTTATTCATTCAACACTTCAACCACTTCATTTATTTGGGAAGTTGAATAAGCCGGCTTCAACGGGTTGATCACTGACAAAATCTCACTACGGATACAGAAGGGTCGTTTAGCATATGCCAACTTACGTCATCACTAGCTTAGTACACGTGATATCCGGCTGTCAACCAAAGGATGTGTATACTGCTCAGCAGCAATTCGCTCCGTCCTTTATGGTTGTGAGACCTAGCCATTGAGATTGGAAGACATGAAAAGATTAGCTGTCTTCGACCAGAGGTGCCTGCGTTCTGTCTCCCGTGTTAAGTGGTATAATAAGGAGAGCAATATTGAAGTTAGGCATCGGTCGGGTGCTAGGTGAGGAGGGGAAAACAATCAACGAGGTTGTGTGGTTACACCGATTGAGTGAGATGGTTAGGACATGTGTTACGCATGTATGCCCAGCCATCGCCTTCCTCGACCGATGGGCAATGTTAGCTGACATAGGGTCAGGCTGGAAAAGAGCTAGCGGCGGTCAGACCAAAACATGGCTTCACCAGTCAATGAAATCCACAACAGTTAGTTCAAGCCAGTCACGTACGAGGGTATAGACTTCCTGGTTGGGATCCTTGGAATGATAAGGACCAGTGACTGGAGACAATTGGTGATATAGCTCAAAATGGTTCTCAATGGCGCAAATGCATTCTCTCTTTGTGATTTGTTATATCCAATAAAACTCTATTGTTCTTCCATATTACAATGCTCTTTGTCTCATATTTCTGTTTATTACCTCTATCTCTTTTGAATATCTCTCTATACTCTCTTCTCTTGTTTTGTGTGCTACAAGGAGGGAGTGTGGTAACCCGAACTGCTGTACATCTGTGCAAAGTTCTACGTTGAAACCAGTCAGTCATTCAACAATGAGCCTTATCAAACGAGAGGGAATAGACAACATTAGTTTGTCACATAAACTAAATTAAGAAAACAAGGCAGCAAATAAACTGCTACAACGACATATAAATAAGCAGATCAGAACAGAATCTTGTGCATCAGTGTTGAAGTTCAAGTACTCAAAATCTGTAAGAACCCAGAAAAAAGTACAAGGGAAGAAAAAATGATATTAAAAAGTGAGCTCAGGAAGGTAATAAGAAGAGATACAACAATTACATAGTACATTTTAAACAGCAGTGTTTAATGAATGCGTAAATTTCGATAGAAGTCGTTAGCTGAATACTCCATAAACATTATTAAGGTTAAATACATAGAAACACATAAACATTGTGACAACAAATAAGTATCAGGTCCCAGTGGCTCAATGGTCTACGAGCTCACCTTGTAACCAGAAGGTCCTGGGTTCAAACCCCAGTGGGTGAGTACTCCTGAAAAGTCCCAAACTAGGATGAAACAGCTATCCAGTACTATCAGGTTTTCCAGTGGTTCTCTAACTGATGTCACCTCATGATGAAATCCTCCATGCAATCAAATAAGTATCAATCTGAACAAATATACATACGATCACTGAAAATACCCATTGAGTCATGAAGAAAATAAAAAACAATTCAGCGAAGAAAATTTTCTTTACCGACGGTCATTTTACCCATAATGGAATTATACTTTACCACACTGTACAAGTTCTATTCTTATATCACTTTCAAAGGTTGTACAGTCATATTTGTATTACCAAAGATGTATAGTAGTCTATTATTGAGTAATACGTGGTGAGATAATTGATATAATTACTTAACATTGTCTTCAAAAGTAAAAATAAAAGTTATAAATCACGTAATACTCAACTGCACAAAAGAAGAAAGGGTTAGAGATTTGATAAGGTTAAAATTGTTATTGGATGAGATGAAAGGTAGTTGAGTGTCCATGTGACAGGTGTGAAGACGGTGAGAAAACGTACAAAGAAGGATCATGTGAGAGTGATAATAGTGAATTAATTATTCAAGTAAAAGCAAAGTAATCATTAAAAATTAAAAATTTACAGGGAACGACCAATGAAGAAGTTAATACCATGGTAGAATAAGAGACTGGACAAACTTTTTCTGTATACACAGAGAGTTCGGGGTTGTATTGACGAATTGTCAACGCCTCTGCCATACACCAAATGGCGAAACCCAACACCCTTTGTACCACTAGGTCTCACTTTGTAGATAATCTTGAAAGAGTACTCTGGTGGGGAGCTGCGTGGCTTGAGTTCACCAAGTGCTCGAGAATTGAGCCAGTAACTGTCTTGCATTATCTTTTAGCTAAACATGCCGGATAATGTTCAGAGATGCATCTGGAAGGTGTGCACATTGTGTAGCAAAAATAACTAGGTCCACAGGAACAGGTGAATTTATAAACACACATTAAAGTGGCCCGTCCAAAGCGGCAGTTTATCCTTAACACATCCATTGATCATTTGTCGGCTGTAGAAATTTCATCCGTATCTCAACCGAATGGAAGGCTTTTCTAAATGATTTGGATAAGTGGTTCTTCAGAAACTCAGCAGCGGTATCTCCTTTAAACTAAACGTTTATAAATAGCGGTTTCTTCGATCTATAAGTTTTGTGAGCGATAGTCTGTTAATGTTAGGTGAATAATATTTATCAAAGTACATATTAACATACAAACTGGAGTTATTGTGGTAGCATGAGTGCAATTATAAACATCTAAATATTTTAATAATATTGAAATATAAGGAAAATTAGTGAAAAAAAATTCAAGGGCGATATACCAAGAGAGATAATTACGAAGAAATTCAGTTCAAAGAACTTTTAATGCTGGCGAATTACACGTCTTATTTTCTACACGACCTGTGATAATTCCTCGATTGAAAGATGAAGTACCTAGACTGGCTACTTCAAATCGTATCTGCCAATTCAACTGCGCTTGTTGAGCGAGTTACATTCATCGTCGTTCTAGGAACTTGATATTTTATGCTTGAGAGCATTTCTCAGTATGGCTAAGCAAAGATGTAGCAAAAACCATCAACAGTTCGATATTAGACCATCTGGTCCACACCGGCCACAAAGCCAGCCAGTATTGAATAATCCTTCTCTATAATCTACCGAGTGCCTAATAAATTGCCAAAATCATCGAAGCACTGCATGCTCCAAACAGCAGAGGCTATCGCGATTCGCGTGAAACAACCAGTGCTTTGTGTGCAAAAGAAGCAAGTCCAGCCACTACTACTGCCCGGGCCTACAGCAGAGATTATAAATTCATGAATTTGTATTATTACCTTTCCTAAATTTTTTTGACAATCAGTTTATTGTTATACTGATGGTATTGAACTGTAATCCATTTATATTATTATTGATTCGGTGTGATTTTAACAAGATTAATGTTGTTCATAACACTGATTCATTCACCCTAACGTATATATAACTGTCGAACCTGACGACGAAGTTATCGAAAAGAATTTTCTTTGTTCAGTAACTATTCTTTTGAAAATTTTAATGGGAATTTTTAATTAGTACAAATAAGTAAATTTAAAATGTGTAAACTATATGTAGGACAAAATAAGATTTTAACATGTCTGATCTAAACTCATAAGACAGTTTGAACACTCCTCACGAAGATTAATACTCAATTATGATTTTTTGATTTACTCTCTTCACAGAAAGAAATATCTTTAACTACATAGGAGTATGTGAGAATATACAAAGCTTCAAATACTATTAGTAGAGAACACGTCTTCACCGATGAGTTTGTTTTTGAGATTATGTCTACGGACGTCTTCACACAGAATGACAGTGAATCTGAGAAATACTGCATTTGTTCAGGTTTTAAGACTCCGCAGAATTGGAACGACAGTAAATTAGCAATAAGTAAAGTAAACCATAAGGTGAACGTAAATGATCATAAAGGAGGGTGTGGTTAAGTAAACATAATAGAGGGGGGTGGGGTGTGCGCTTTTAAATAACTGAACACTCGCACCATATCATGTGTGCTCTTCCGATATGGAGTAACACCTTTTTGTTGTACCACAGTAAATTAAATCGATAAATCATCTCCCCTTGTTATCATGGCTTCATTAACTAACCTTCCAAACGAGTTCACTAAAGAAGTTTACAGAAATCTTAAAGCGCACTAATCCATGTTGTCACACTGTTAAGTAGCACCATCCATGAAAGTAGAAACAAAGTAAGCAATCAAACTACAATCGATGAAAATATGAGGGAGGGGGGTTAATAACCATATGAAGAGTAGTAAGAAGTTTGCAAATCTGGGTGATAAAGATGGTTGAATGAATCTATGACGAAAATGCAATCGAGAGCTCATTGCACCATCCGATTCTTAAGTCAAAACATGAAGCCACAGTTCCGAGCCCAGAGACCTGCGCTAATTGGAAATCATGTTCCCGAACAAATGATGAACTACACTTCAGGGAAGTGAGCTTATATTAACTTTTTACCGTAAAATTGACATCACGATAGATATTAGAACTCTAGTGTAAACCCACCATAATTTATCATGTTTGAAAATTTGAACAGGCAATTTGTCTTCACTTAATCGGTCTTTTTTTCTTCATATCTCCTTTTATTCGAACAATATTTTATTCCTGAAATGTATATATATTAAAAGGTGAAAAGATTTCCAGGCTCTTACAAAATTCTGTACTTTATTAAATGTTTTAACTCCAGTTTCTATATAGTAAGTTGAATATTATACGGAAACTATTGGTTTTTTAGCGTGGTCTGCATAATTACTAGTAAGATACGCCTATTCGATTTATTATGCTAAGCAGATGGAAGTGAAATCATACAGCATTATCATTATTGTATTTGAACATTTCATCTTTCATAACACAAAAAGTTTGATAACCTCTATTTAAAATTCGCATCAGTAGTTGCATATATGAAGCCAATAAATAAGAAAAGACGAGCATTATGGCTCTTTCTTCCAACACATTTATTCAGTTGAACGTCCCTCTGAATACCACGATGTCGCTAGTGTAATAGATACAATCTACTTGACTTTTAGAAAGGCTTTCATGTGACACTGTTTTTAGCCGCCAATCCAATCCTCTACCTTTACGCAACTTTTAGACATATGACAAAAGCCCACCATTTACGTTTGAAGCTTGTCACATAGTTGATGTATACGCAAAATTCACCAACAAAAGTCAGGAAAAACTGACGCTGAATAACTCATATGCACATGTACCATGGTTCGAGGTGGAAAAAAGGCAGTGGATAAATCAATATAATCACCAACAAATGTGGCGATGAAGCTGCTGGAGTTGATTCACAGCCTTATGAGTTAAAATTTGAGTCGAAAACTAGGAAAATGTTATCTCCTAGAACAACTTACCTGAGTCTTTAGGTCTGTCTGAGCAATGATTCAGTCCCTAGAGCAATCATGAAACGATAATTTCAACGAAAACTTTAGGGTCCAAATCTAACTTCCCTACTATATATTGCATTGAAAAGCTCATATTTAAATCATTGTCGTTATCCCATCCTTGTTGTTTTTATATGTAATTTGTTTTGTATCAAAAACCTCATATTACTTTTTCTCCACCCACTTAATATTCAATGTTTTAAGTCACACTTCCAGATCAATTTTTATTTAGTTGCTACTATGCTACTGTCTCCCACATAATATTTAAAACGCCCATTCAAACCTATTAAATAAAGTTTGCCGCTTCAAATCAATCTGATAATGTACAAGTTTGGCTTAAAACAACTTTAATAGCCTAGTGATCGACTTTTAACCAGGCAAAAATTATTGACACTGAGTAAGCAGATGATATAGTCCCTTTTTAGGTGATGCAAAATGCAGTTTGTAAAGGAAGCTATATATATATGCGGCATGAGATTAGCTCCTGCCAAATATAAGACAATGCTGCAGGATCTGAGTCGTACTCTGGTTTCACGACAAAGAGTGGAATGGTTGAATATGCTGACCACTAAGGAAGTAAACCTTGAGGAGTTGCACTAGCCGCATTGGAATGATTTCTGAAGAAATCATGAGCTAGTTAAAACAAGTTAGGGTAAGTTAAGACTGGTGCAAAAGACCTGAGACGATGCATGTCAAGATCTACCTGTGTAACATCTAAAAGTGGGAGACAATGTCGAAATTGCCTTATCACTGTTAAATTCAGTGGTTGCTGCAATCCCAACCGCACATTTGATGCGGTCATAGCAACAAATAAAAAGCCCTCGAGAACTGATATAATTCGGGCAACTGCTTTGCAAAATGTCTTATGTTTATTAAGACTGTTCATCTACACATAAACAAAGTGGTCCCATTCAAAATACAGTATATACTGTGAAGTAATCCACATTACATTTTCAGATACCACTAATGTCGATACAACAAGCTACCAGAGCTATTTAATTAATTTACAGAATAAAAGAAACTAAATAGCCTTAAACAACCAATATGAATAAGCAGATGCGAAAAATTCATAGATCTACTAGATTATGGTTTTATGCTTTAAATGTATAATGCCATAACTCTTCCTTGCACTAACAACTAAACCTTACTTCATCTTAAACATTACTTTTATTAAGCCGGTAGCTATAAATTAACCGTACTCTAAAAAACTGTAAAACGACAACAGTACCGAATTGTGAAGGAACTAGTTTAAGTAAGCACGGATGTCTTGTATCTCTGACTTTCGAAGTCATTTTAAAGATCCCTGATGGTGACTGCTATTATGTAACTTCACCATCCATACGTTCACTAGTACAACAGTAATGACCGTACGATAAAATGTTACAAAAACAAGGTGCCTACCCTGGAAGTAACGCATCTGTTGAAAGTAGCGCCAGATCCCCAATTTTAGGCGGCCGTTACAAATTTAGTTGGAAGTTTAGCGTGTGGTATGGTATCAACCCATCTAGGCGATTATAATTTGGAGAAATTGCATCGCTTCAAAATAAATCACGAATAATTCCGAATTAACTTCATTCCATAAAGAACTTAATCGTTTCGTCGGTGTATGTTAAATACGGATCGGTAAATAATATCCAATATCTTTTTGACGAACTGTTATAAAGTAAGTAATTCCCTGATGTAATATTTGAATGGTGCTGGTATAATCTGCTCACAGTAACTGTTGCGGCTTTGCTGAATTCTATAACAACAGCACCAGGACAGTGGTGCTGATGAGGGAACAGATCAGTTGAAGTGGAATCTAGCGAATAAGTAAACTTGGCGAATGGATAGCAAGGCGAGAGGACTGGTCGTAATACAAACAAAATAGATGGTTTGTGTGCATACAACAGAAAGAAAGGGAAACAACAGAATAAGGCTTGTAGGTATGCAGGTGATAATAAAAACTTTAGTAAACTATTGGAGTTTATTAAGGTAATAAGTACGATACGCATATTCGTACTGCTAGTACAGCCTCTTAAAATTAGTCTACTATCCTTATGGATTCACGCAAATATTTCGTTTCTGCGTGATGGTCGATGCTGCCATTTAAACTATATCCTGATGGTGCAAGTACTTTGTGGGAGGTTAGTGAATTCCGTCAATGGCGAAATGCAGGTAAAGAGATGTTGGCCCCTATCTGTTTTGCTGTCCCCATATGAGAAATTTCGCTGGGATTTCCCAAGAGATGTTATGGTGTCCCTTCATTAATATCCTGGATCTCGTGTATCGGGCCATGAGCTATCTTGTGTGTCGTAATTAGGTTTATTTCACTGTATGGTGACTGAGAGTATACAGCTCGAGATTGCATAATTGGTCGTAGTACGTTTGTGATTCCAGTCTAATGGCATTTGTAGTAGTCTTACTATGCATTCTTCCTAAGAAATTCTCGACCCTTTTAGTAATTGTGGTGCAGCGGATATAATGATCAACGGAAACAAACTATGCGGCTGATGTACTTGAAATTGTGACTGATACATTTCGTGAAACAGAAATGTGAAGGATTATGATTAAATGATTATTTAATATACGAAATCTATTAAACACTCTGTATAATGTCTGGAAATCACGGGACTAACAAGCTAAATTTGTTCGGCACCTCTTGTTGCGAGAAGTATGAAACCCATTGGACGTTTTTCCCGTGATTTTCAAGCCTTTTGCCTTATAAGACTCCCCTCTATGCCTGATCCTTTATCGAAGTTCATATGTCGAGAACAATTTAGTATATGTACAATATTATGTAAGAGATTCGTATTCCAATCTAACTTCAAATCCAAGAACACCAGTCGGCTGTCAAAATACATTACATAAAAGGATTTCTTGAAACCGGATACTCAGGTCAGTCTTCACCCAACAGACACGTTGAAATGGGCTAAGTTTATCACCCAAAAAGGAACATGAAACATGGCGAAAATCTTGAATGGTGAGTTGTCGGAGCGGTGGACACTACTATCAGTGACAACCATGTCCATTTTGAGATGCGGTTGTACAATGCATGGAGAATTCAAAAAACGCACTCGGAGAATGTTGTGAAGAAGGAGTTTGGAAATTTAGCATTCAAACAAACGAGCCTAGAAAACACCTCCACATTCAAAATATATTGATTGCTTTTTAATGACAAGCTTGGAAAGCCCACTGTCCAATTTATTTGTCTTGATATTCATGTTTTCGATTACCACTGCATAAGTTAGTTTATCACCGGAGTGATTTCTGAAAGTTTCCTGTGGTGGAAAAATCGGGGTGTATAATTACACCTGAAAATGTGTTTCTAAATGTTGTTATCGTGTTCTGTACACTATATTTCATTTAGATACACATTAGACAGTGTTATTGTTTGTCATAAACTGTCTTAAGTTATTTCATTCGGTACTTGCTGTCAAATGACCTACTATCACCATACCAGTACAACATCTTGAGTAGAAGTTCATGCCTTACTTGCTACTTAGATTATTTTGACTATATTGCACAATTCATTGATTATGGGCATTCAGAAACAACATTACTTCTCGTCGTTAGCAAGGCCTTGGATAAAGTCCAACATATCAGACTCCTGACAAAACTACAATCCTAAGGGATAACTGAAAAACTTCTCGAAAGGATAAATCCTCTTCTCACAGAAAGAGAGCAATTAGTCAAAATCAACCACCAGCTGTCTTAATCAAAGCCGATAACTAGTGGTGCAGTACAAAGAAGCGTACTTGGCCCAGTTATATTCCTCATGTTCATAAATAACATTATCAATGTAGTTAAAGATTGAACGATCAATTCATGGTTGTTTGCTCAAAACCAACTTCCCTATATTTTCGCGGAGGCATCAATACACCAGTCATCGTCTCATCGGTCGCTGTTCAGAGAGAAGTCAGGAGACAACCGTCAGAAGTAATATTGTGATTTATTATTGTAATATTTGTTCACAGACCTTAGTTGTAAAGCTTAGCTCTAAAGTTGGCTATATGTTGGCGTTACAATAAAGAATTCTCGAGTGGCCAATCGGTGTTTTGGTTTTTTCGTTCGTTATTACTAAGCGTTTCTGAGAAACATCAAGAAACAGCGTGAGTCTCAGCGTAGCAAGAGCTGAGCATTGACGGTTTACGAGACGTGGCTTACAGTTTCTGACGGTGAAGTTAGGTTCTGACGGATTCAGATAGCTGCTGACAGTTTGGATAGTCAGCGTTCATATATCCTTGTGCCGGTCAAGTCCTCTTTGAACAAGCAATATCTGGAACTTTTTTGGAATTAGGTCAAGTTCAACTATGCCTGGGTCAAAGAGCTATACAGTGCTGTAAGCTCATGCCCCCTAATGAGGGATACGCTGAGGCTATGAGCATATTACGTCAAAGGTTTGGAAGACCTTCAATGATTGTAAGGAACGTATTCGAGGCTGTCAAAGGTAACGGCAGTCAACTTCAAGATGACTCCAAGGCTCTCACTGAGTTTTCGGATAATCTTATGACTTATAAGAATACCTTGATTTCTATGAATTGCATGAGTGACCTCAACTCGAGCTCAGTCCTAGAGGTAATTGCGAGACGCCTACCTACTCGGCTGCAAAGGAAGTGGGTGAAAATGAGCTCTCGTATAGAGGATGAGGTTATCGAGCCAAGGTTTGATGATATTCTGAGACTGGTGAAGGACAGTGTCAACCAGGCGATGGGCAAATTCGCCAGCATTTTGCATTCTAAGGTAAAACATAAGGAACCAGTGAATATAAGGAAAGCATTTGTGGTGAGGTCTCAAGACACAACGAGAAAGGGTGAGTGTATTTTTTGTTCTGAGAAACATGAAGGAGTCTCTTTGAATGATAATCTGTTTAGTGGCCCAGATTGCGTGAGCTCATTAGTGGGACTGCTATTAAGATTCAGAAAGTTTACAGTTGCTGTCGCGGCGGATATTGAGGAAATGTTCCTACAGGTGAAGGTGCCAGAGAGTGACAGAGATCACTTGAGGTTTTTGTGGTTTGATGACGGTCCTTGTGGTAAGGTGTCAGAATATAGGATGACAGTGCATCCATTTGGTGCCACGTCCTCCCCGTTTTGTGCTAATTTTGCTCTACGAAAGGCAGTGTCCACATTTGGTTCTAATGATTTGCTGGACGTCATAGATTGTTGCTTCTACGTGGATGATTGTTTAGCCTCCTTCGATGATGATAAGTCTGCAGTTAGATTTGCAACAAGCATCACTGAAGTGTTAGCTAAGGCCGGCTTTCGTCTAACTAAGTGGGTCTCGAACAGCCTAGACGTTTTGAAGCATATAGATCCAGAAGACAGAGCACCTACCGTACGAGATTTGCCTGTTGATACTCTACCAGTTGAACGCACATTAGGTATGCGATGGGATGTGAACTCTGATACCTTTGGATTTAGTGTTGGTGATATTGATAAGCCAGTTACTCGGAGAGGTGTGCTCTCTGTGTTGTCGTCCGTGTTTGACCCACTTGGATTAGTAGCACCTTATCTACTTCCGGCTAGGAGGTTATTTCAAGAGACATGCAGGAAAGGGTTACAGTGGGATGAACCATTAAGTGAGAGGCAGAGAGAAGAGTGGAAGGGGTGGGTTAACAGTTTAAGAATGCTGAATCTACATTCCGTCTCACGTCCACTTAAGCCGTCGAGAAATCATGATATAATTGACTTCCATGTTTTTTCTGATGCCTCTGAGGTTGGATTTGGTGCAGCCGTATACATCAGAACCACCTTAAGGAATGATATAGATGTTAGCCTGGTGATGGGTAAATCTAGAGTTGCACCTCTAAAGACGGTTTCGATTCCGAGATTAGAACTTAATGCCGCCTTACTAGCTGCGCAGTTATTCACAACGGTGTGTAAAGAGTTGGATTACCCCAAGTATCCCGTAACGTTTTGGACTGATTCGATGTCTGTGATATATTATATACGCAACGAGTCAGCAAGATATGCATGTTTTGTAGCTAACAGAGTATCTCAAATTCGTGAACTAACAACTGTTGAGCAGTGGAGGTACGTACCGTCTGGAAAAAATCCAGCTGATCTAGCCTCGCGAGGAGTTATTGATATGAATGTGGTTAAAAATAAGTGGTGGAAAGGTCCAGAGTTCTTGCTAAGGGCTGATAGTATGTGGCCTCGTAGAGAAGATGAACCACCGATAAACGAGTGTGCCTTGGAGTTGAAGACAAGTGTCAGTTTAACATCTACTCAAGAAAGACATTCAGGTTTACATCCACTTTTTAAATATTATTCTTCTTGGTACAAACTACTGAAAGCTGTTGCGTGGTTGACACGATATGTTACGTATTTAAAGGTCATGCATCTTGCGGGATACGAAAATATGAATGTGGGGCCTTTGAGAGTCGAAGATATTAGAAATGCAGAGTTAGCGATTTTGAGGGCTGCTCAGTGGGAAGCGTGGGGTGAGATTGCCAAGGAGG